CTTATTAGATTACAGCCGTTACCGGGGAAACTGCTATATCTCCAGCTCCCAAAGCGCCTCCTGCTGGCAGAGAATTAATTTGCAGTCTGTGGGAAACACTGGTGTCTGTCAGCAAACATAAACAAAAAGCATCCTTCAGAACTGTTTTGAGAAGGTGCTTAAGTTTTGAGCCATGTATTATTACTCTAAATTGGGCTACTACTACTATTACTATCTTGTACCCTGCAATAATCATTTGCTCAAACTCACTTTTATGAGATGAATGGGGAAAAAAAAGAAAATTGGCCAAACATATCGGCCAAAAAAATCGGCATCATATATCGGCCATCGGCTGTCCTGATTTCTAAATATCGGCATCGGCCAGTGAAAAACCCATATCGGTCGACCTCTACATGCAGTACTTACGCTCCTCGTAGCTGCTGCTGGATGTGGAATGTGTGAGAGCATGTAACTCGTGCGACATCAAGGAGAGGTCAAACTGAGACGGACTCTCGTGTTCCTCGTCGTCTGGAGACTGTTGCATGATCTCTTCAATCTCTTCTATGACCTGATTAACACGCAGGTTTGAGGTCAAATGTCAAATGTACAGGTCTGACTACAATGTTGTTAGTGAAACAATTCAAAAGGCTCATAAAACACCCAAATCGTGTTCGGTTTTAAATCTACTGCTGTAAACAGGTTTCTATGATGGTCGAAGAAAAGGTATAGAAAATATCATTATGAAAGTTATTATTGCATCTATAACTGGCCCTCACTAATATAGTCTCAAAGGTCTGAAGTGTATATACCTGTTCTGCAGTAAACAGCGGCTCCTCGTTCACACATGAGATGATGATGGTGTGCATGTCCATCTGATCTCGGAGCTCCTCGTCATCAGACACATCAAGATTATTGACCTCCCCCCTCTGAAATACACACACGTGCAGTGTGAGCTCTGTCTGTACTGATTGAAAGGAGAGATGGATGAATGGATGGACAGACGGATCTCACCTCCTGAGGCCGGAGGTTCAGCGTGGGCAGGTGTAGTGAACGAGTGTGAGAGGTTTTCCAGTCCACTGGCATCACATTGCCATAGTTCTCCGTCAAAGTGTTCCATATCCTGCGAAACAACAAGAAAACAGAAGAATAAATTAGAAAGACAGTATCTACAAGATTTCATAAGGTTCATATATGCAAGTTACGGCTTCATACTCATAAGCCTGTAAAGCCTAACATATGAAGTAAAAGTCAGAAAAAATTATTTTCTTTTTCAAATGGAACAGTTTATTGTACCTTTAGACAAAATCCAAAAAGAAAAAAAGTTTGCATACATGTTTTTTGTTTGCGAGATATGCAAAAATATGCAATTTGATGCCGTTGCTGATATTTCTATGGCCAAAAAGTAATTTGAAATTCTGTTAGCTTGTAAAGTAAATCAATAAGATTTAGATAACAGCATAGCAGACTATTTACATAAAACACATATAAATATCAGCTGACACTCTATTTCTCTCAGAAATGTCTTAGTAAGTTGATATTAATATTTCGTTTTATGATCCAAGCCCTGTAGTTTCAAAACATATAATGTAATGCAATACAATGATTGAGAGATGAACAAATAAACGTTCATCAAAACCCCGCTTTAATTAAGTAAGTTACATCTAAGTTGCTTCAGGCCAGTAAATGTTCATCTTGAAATATTATTAACACTATAAAAGTTATTCTTCCGTTTACTTTATAAAAATAATTAAATATTTGATTATCAGAGTATCACGTTCAAAATATTGTAACGGTAATATCACAGTACTTTTTTGCAGGAAGATTTTGGTGAAATTAGCTAATATGACATTTACAAAATACCCTTTCAAAAATGTTACTCCACGGTATTTCCCAGAATACCATGGTACTAGCACGGTAAATCATGGTACTTTACTGTAACTTAGTGTAAATAAAGAATCACAGCAAAATATGAAACCTGACCACTAATTCTCTTCTCATTTCAGTAATTCAAACTGGAGCGAGTATATTTACACAAACGTATTTACCGTATAAAACATGAAATACTACATGACATATTTTTTACGTTGTTATAATATTTGGAGTATGTTTTTGTCACTCACTCGTCGTCGCGCAGCAGCTCGCGCTCACTCACGGCACTCACTGAGACGCTCCTGCACGCGCTGCTAGAAGACGGGAAGCTCGCGCTCAGCGTCTCGTCGAAAGAAGCGAAGCTTTGGGTCGGCGGTGAATTCTCTGGTGCCGCGGTCCAGCTGGTGTGCGAATCGGCTGCTTTGAATTCGTTAAAATCCTCCCAGTCTTCATCGAGCGGAGCGACCGAGGCCGCCATGACTGTGGCGGACGACGGGACGCAACGGACGCAACGTACGCGCGCGCGATAGGGGGCGGGGCGACGCTGCCACGCAAACACGCGTAATCAAAGTCGCTTTCACAAACTTACTCATTTCAAGTAAGGTACTAGGATCTGTTTTATTTATAACTTTGTCTACATCCTGTACCTGTAACAAAAAAAAAACTATTAAAACTTGGACTGTTTGCTCCCATGTTGGTGTTTTTAAAAAAATAATATTTATTTAATAATTTGATTATTTTGCGTATGTAATTTTGTTTTCTTTTTCGATTTGGTTTATGTTTATTTGGTTTTATCTTTGGTTTATGAATAAATAAATGTATTGTTTGATTGATTGTGGTCTGCAATCCATGTTCTGTATTCAATTATTGTTTAAGAATAGCATTTGTTATTTTTACTGTTACTTACTTTTGATCATTACTGTCATTATAGGTTTTATGTATGCATTTCTATTATTTTTATTTTGTGTAAATAATGAATATTTTTACTTGTTCTTTCTATATTGATTTGAATTGTAATTATATCTGATTGAGTTAAAAAAAGAAGTATTATTTAAATGCTATAAAATTGTTACTAATTAAAATAATAGAACAAACACCAACCTTTGAACATAATTAAACCTAGAAATAAAATAAAAATTACTAGTTAATAAAAAAAATCAAATAGTGTCTTAATAGCAATATAAAAGTAATATTATTTGAAGTTATCGATGTATGTTCTAATTTTATATAAAAATTATTGTACATGATGGTAATTTTACAGTACCATCTGCTACTATTACTATAACGCCTTTTGTAGTACTTTTTGTAGGGGGGTTATTTTTGTCACAAAGTAACCAAAAGTACCCAAATATTCTGTAAAGGTTTAAGGATTAAGCACAGTTTAACCCATGCAGGCCAGGTGAAATGCTTCATTATGTTTCAAAACCCTGAATGCTTTATTGAAAATATGCATACATAACACATCTCCTACACAACAATACAAAACAGTACAATCACTTTTTGAAATAACACATTTAATGCAAATGGATGCCCTTCGTACAGGAGCAGTTATCATGAGGAAAACCTCTCACACGTCTGATTCACAGTCAAACATGAGAGCAACACACCTGCAGTTAGCTGGAAAAGAGATACTCTTGCATATGGTTAGTAGAGTACACAAACCCCACAGTACAAGAGTAACAATACTACCCCCATATCATCATATGCATTACTAATATGTCCACTGCTGTAACGAGCAGGCTTGTTTTTAGTTCTTTAAAACAATGAGGAGAAGCAATAGCCAAAGAAACTGCTCTCAGATCAGCTAAATGAACAGCAAAGATGTGTCACAGTGCACAAGCATCAGCCTGGTCCGAGCAGCGACCAATTATTGTTGAGATTTTATTAGACTTTTTTTTTGCTTATGGCACAAAATGGTCCTCAAGTAAACAGGCAAAATTCAATGAAAACCAAAACAGGCAGATGTTGCTGACCAACTCGAAGCCATTCGATATCAAAATCCATTTACAAATCTTTAATAACTGGAAAATCATCCATGACTTGTTCTCAAATAATTGCTTGTAATCATTTCCACAAGCTGTCAGGTTGGCAAGGATAAACCCTTAAAAATGTCTCTGTAATAAAGTGACGTAACTTTAGAAAAGACTTTCTGGATAATTTGGATTTCCGAGGCAAAGGCCGGGGAGTTTAGCACCATCTCATGACTGTGGAAAGCATATGTGGATGTCAGTAAAATTATGGTTAATGTAACTATTTTTTTAAATCGAAAAAAAAAAATGCTAATAATACTTAAATAAAAGATTTTAAAAAAGAGGAGACAATTTATCTGGTTATAGTTTAATATAATGATACAGAGATAAAGTCAACCAAAAAAAAACAAAATATTGTAAACCAAAAAAAGTAACAAAAACTTCCATAAAAACAGGCAGAAAAGCATTTCTTTTCAAACATTTAATATCAGTCCATAGCAAATATTTCTCTCCAAAAACGGGACTCAAAAGCTGGATATTTGGTGGAAACATCTCAGATCAGGGAACGTGACCGTGTGGATATAACTCAACTAGCGTACAGGCAGAGCTTTCGTGTGGATGAAATCATTGTGGATTTGAAGACGGTTTTATTTTAATGCTGGTATGGCTGCTGCGAGAAACTTTATATGGGGGCTCTCAGCTCAAACGTTGCTGCATAGGTCATTTATACGCCACAAACTCCTCATCAGGAGCCGAATATCTGATTGACATTTTGAGTGTCACAGTATCTTTCTGTTTAAAGCTGTGCGTTTCGCCCGCAAAGTCGATTTATTTTTGTACTAATATTACAAAGTCTCTCTCCCGAACGCCACCTCTCTAAGGTAAGTGGTGAAAACGAGGAACTTCGCTAATAGCTTTCTTTTTTAAAAAACAAAACAAAAAATGCTTCTCAAGTTTTTGTTCCACAGATGAAGGTCTCTGGGGCTTCGATCAGATTCTGTTAAAACGATTCGCACGGCTAAACAAGGGACACGCTCACGCTGGTGTGAGAACAGTGCCACATGCGAACGTACACCAACTTTAGGCACATTTGAACACTCACACTCTCACACACGGGCTGTGCTACAGGAGGGAGGCCGAAGCAGAATTCAGTCGAACATTTAAACTCTCAGAGATCGAAATGGCGACCTCTGACCCCTTGCTGATGCGTGCGAGTCCGGTTGAAACCAATGCATTTGTGTTCTGAAAGATAAAAAAAAAAAAAAAAACGGAAAAACTACAGCACTCCATCAACACTAAAGCCCAAGCTGATCAACTGCTAAAGGAACGAAAGAGAGAATTGCTATTTCTTTAAAAAAAAGTGTTTCGTCCTCTGCCGCTGGAGGATTGAGAGCGAGAGAGAGAAAAACATTGAGTGTGAGTTTATACACCCGGCCGGGCGCTCCAGCTCTCGTCTTCAGGCCTAATGAAAGGGTAATAATGTGGGAACAGCCGTGGAGGGAAAGAGATCAGATCCGTCGGTATGGAAGCGGGTCGAATCAGCGTCAGGTCTCTGCTGCCTCCGGACACCTGAAAGCGAGGCTCTGAAACTCTTTCGCGTTTGGACTCGTGCGTTGTTGTGGAGGAGGACAATGCTGTAATTGTGTTTTTCTCTGTTGGATTTCGCATTTTTCGATGCGACAAGTCTTCTGTTCCAGGGCTGCCATCAACTGTCCATACTGCTGCAACTCTCTGAGAAAATGAGAGAAAAATCGACTTTCATTCAGCAAAAGTGACAGCTAAGACATTTATAATGTTACAAAAGATTTGTTTCAAATAATGCTGTTCTTTTGAACTTTCTACTCATCAAAGAACTTTCCACAAAAATATGAAGCAGCACAACTGTGTTCAACATTGATAATAATCAGAAATGTTTCTTGAGCAGCCAATCAGCATATTAGAATGATTTCTGAAGGATCATGTGACACTGAAGACTGAAGTAATGATGCTGAAAATTCAGCTTTGATCACAGGAATAAATTACATTTTAAAATATATTCAAATAGAAAACAATTATATTCAATTGTAATAATATTTAGCAGTTTTAGTTTTTTACTGTATTTTTTTGCTCAAATAAATGCAGCCTTGGTGAGAAGAGACTTATTTAAAAAAAAATCAAAATTCTGAACAAGAGTGTATAAAATAAGTAAAAATAAGTAAAAAATAAATAATTCACGACTGAAACAAATTAAGTAAACGTTATTTTATTTTTTTCTGACTTTTTTTTAGAAGAGTGTTGTATTAACAAAAAGTCTATCCTTCTGTTAAATTATGACTAATCAGAGCAAATATTCATTAGTGCAAAAACGTCAGTTACATCAATACAGTGAAGAAGCTTTCTGAAAACAATCAGGCTTTTGTAAGTCTCATTCTCTAGAAATATTGCTAAGTGACCAAATAGTCTCTGTTCCTTATAGAAAAAAAAAAAGCTCGTTTATGACACAACTACACGTAATGCACTATTGGCTGAATGTCTGACAGCCTCAAAAAAGATTAAGCTGTAACAAAGTAGTTACATAGTTTCTCAGTAATGCTTAAATTCAACAAAGGTATTTTACAAAACCCATTTTAATTCTGTAACAAAGCATTTCAATATGAAACAGGATATTCAATTAGATACGACAAAAAATGTAGAGTGGGATTTTCTTTTTATTGCAATGCTGCAATAAAATAACTCTAAATAACTCAATACTTTCCAAAAACAATTTTAATAAACAATAAACAAGTTTGAAATTTTTTCTTCAATTTTTTTAATTTTAATTTATTTATAAAATATACTGAATTGTGAAGAGTTTTATATGTTAGGCAGTTTGAAGTCAATTTACAAATAACGGTTATTTTTATTTTTAAAATGTAAAAACAAGGCAATTTCTTTTTTCAAAAAAAATCTGAAAAAATGCAAATTAATAACATTATATATATTGTATTATTATAATATTATAATTGTATAATTATCTACATTGCAGGTAGTTGGAAGTCAGAAAAAAATGTAAAAATGAACAATATAATTGTAATTTTTAAAATGTCAAAAGACAATTTTTTTCATGTTTTTTATGAATAATACCCTCACATTGAGAACAGGAAAGTGTATTAAGTCATGCTGATTTTAAGAACATTATTGAAACTCAATAATGATTGAGAAATTCAATAATGATCTCAACTTGGATTATATCTGTCTGTATTATTAAGTATTATCAATGAATCTGAAGAATGGAAGCTCTAACTCTCAGTCCTGTATTTTCTGTGACTGGATAGTATGTCGGTACCATTGAGGCCGTCCTGCTCTTGTGCGTCCAGGAAGGGTGCGGGTCCCCAGATGCGGACTGTGCCGTCGTCAGAAGCGCTGGCCATAAGATTGGGAATACAGGGGTTCCAACTGACACAGTTCACGGTGCGTGTGTGTCCCGTCAACTCCACGATCGGCAGCTCGCTGCGCTTGTGCCAAATATATACCTTATGATCTGAGAGACACAGCAAGATTGAGTGAGATTCACTCGAAACACACCTGAAGAAAGAAGCTGAGGAATAAACAAAAGCACCTTCACTGCCGCTAGCGATGAAATCCTCGTTGTGTCCACCGAAGCAGGAGTGAATGGTGTAGAAACCCTGTGTCACACCCTGATACTTCCTGACCAACACACGGTCCTGTAGGTCCCAGAGATGAACGCCCTGCGTTACGAACAAACAAAAGATTTGGTTAGGACATCACCACAATTTAATATAAAGATGGTAAATAAGATAAGGATGACATTGCTGCAATACAATTTGAAAATGAATTTTAAAAATGTGAAAAATAATTGTAGGAATTATTAATAATACTTAGTAATTATTATTTAATTATAAAACATCACACAATAAAATAATATAAAAATCTCAACAATTATTCAAAATGAATGAATAAAAAAAAAAAAGTCAAATATAACTTTAATTATCAATAATTGTAAACATATTAAATTATAAAAAATAACACTATTTAATTGAAAGGTAGTAAATATATAAAAAGATAATATAGCTGCAATAAAAATCATGTGAAAATGAATTTGAAAAGAAATGAATTTGAAAAAATTTTCAGAAAAAGGATGAAAATAAAAATATTAAAAGTTCTTGATTATTATGATAAAAAAAACTCTATTGTTTTATTTTTAAACATTTTGGATGTTGTAATAACGATGTAACGTATGTTTGAGCTTACCTGAGTTGCTACATTTAACAAAGCTAATCTTCCATTCTTGGAAACAGTGAAAGACATTATAGGATGATCCTCCTGAACTCTAAAGTACAAACAGAGAGAGAAGCAAAAGGTCAGACGCAGATTTCAAAACTCGGAAGCGTCTGAAAATCAAATCAAACAGCTGCTTACATGTTTCTGTCTGTTAGGTCCTCGAAACTGTATCCACGGATCCTCTGGTGCGTATCAGAGGCGAGAACAGTCCGGCCGTCGGCCATACACCAGAGGCACTGCACACGCACGCCTTCCCACGACTCCAACAGGTTTCCGTCAAGATCCTGTCCAATCACAACCAACAACTCATTACTAAAGAGAAGCCTGGCAAATCCGACAATCAAACCTCTTTAAGTCCGTTCTGAACTTACACACTGGTAAAACTGCCCTCTCTGTCCTCCTGTAACAAAGCGCTTGCCGTCAGGGTTCCAGGCGACGCTGGTCAAGCTGTCCTCATGAGACTGACTCATCTTTGTCCGCAGTTCTCCTGTCTGACCGCCAGGTGAAAGAAGAGAGTCAGAGGTCAGAGGTCAGAGCTGAGCTACAGATGAAGTCTACATCTAAAGCACTTCAGTGTAAATGATTGATATTTATTACACAATTTATAGTGTAATAATTTAAATTTTTTAATTTAAAGATAATAACATAGTAACACAGCTATATATATATAAAAAAAATAAAAAAAAGTACTTTTTTCCCCAAAATAATAAATAAATATTTAAATAATTTAATTTGACTTTGGAAAAAGAATCAGAAATTAATTTATTTTAAAGTATTAATTCATTTTAATTAGTAAGTAAGTAAAAAAAAAAGCTGGCCAAAGTGCTGAACAGAATCAGAGTTAAAACATAAGACAAGCAAGACAAACCATAAAACAATAAAATAAAACATAAATAAAATCAAATTAGAATGCCTGGGAGTAAAGATATGTTTTCAACATTGTTTTAAAAGTTACAATAGAAGGTGCAAGGCGGATGTCCAAAGGCAGTTGATTCCAAAGACGGGGGGCGGCAACTGAAAAGGCCCTATCAACCTTTGTTTTTAAACGTGAACGAGGGACAACTAAAAAAGCCCTGTCAGAAGATCTTAAAGATCTGGAGGATGAAAGAGGAGTAAGAAGATCTGTGAGATAAGATGGGGCTTGACCATTAAGAGCTTTAAAAACAAACAACAACATTTTAAATTGAATTCTAAAATGGACAGGGAGCCAATTTAAAGAGGCCAAAATTGGTGTAATATGATCAGTTTTCTTTGCCCTGGTCAACAGCCTTGCAGCAGCATTTTGTACCATCTGTAAGCGTGCAATGGATAACTGAGAAAGACAAAAATACAATGAGTTACAATAATCAAGGCGAGAAGTAATAAAAGCATGAATGACCTTCTCCAAGTCATGAAAAGACAAAAATGATTTCAGTCTCGACTCGAGATGATCCGTAATTGATAAAAACTGTTCTTAACAACTGAATTTATTTGCTTAGTCAAACAAAGTTCAGAGTCCAAAATGACACCAAGATTCCTGACCTGTGAAGAGACTAAGAAATGATTGCCAAGCTCATTTATAAAAACACTTCTCAATTTTTGGGGGCCAAAGATGATTATTTCTGTTTTATCTTCATTACGTCGAAGAAAACTACTAGATAACCAATTCTTAATGTCCCCAAGGCAGGCCAATAAGGGTTCAATGGAGTCGCCAGCTTTGAAACGTTATGCCTCCTAATAATATCTCCCAAAGGTCGTATTTAGTGGTAGCTTATCAGTGGTGACTGTCAGTCAATGTACATATGAAGCAGTTCCATAGTTTAATGTGAGGTACAGATAAATATTTAAGTTGTTAAATACAACTTCACGTAAACCTTTCTCTCCGCTACGGCTGTCTGTCATCCTCCATTCAGCATTCAAACTGCACGTCGGTCGCGTTCAGTTATGACAGTCAAGACGACGAAACTCTCTCCAGGATGATACAATGTTCTTATTATTATAATTGATCTGTAGATAAACATCAGTGGTTTTGCATAAAAGGACTTTATCTTGCTGGAGTTTATAGCTAATTCTAAATCATGTTACTTTCTACCGGGTGTCTGTTAGAGATCACAACACTGGCGTACAGAGCACTATGAATTGTTCTTCACGCGCACAGTAACTGAAATTTAAAACTGTTTAAAGAAAAGGCTAAATAAACTATCGCACATATATAATACACTACTCATGAGTATCTCTTCCCTTTGTGCTTTGAACTTTTCTATGCGGAGCGCTGCACGCTGTGACTCCGTGTTGCTTCAAGCGCGTCATTCTGCGCACGGGATACGCACAAGCGCTTTGTACCGCTCCGTATTGGAACCTTTCATGTTATAATACTTTTGCGCAATGAAAGATTGTTAATAGCCTTTCTTGTTCTGTCTTATCTATCATATGTTGCTGCCTCATTACTGTGCTATAAATGTAAAAGAAATGTATTTAATTTATTGCATATATTTATAT